CTTTTCTTCGCGTATATTTGCAAAGAAGGAACTAATCTTGAAATTCGTGATGGCCAGAGTTCATCAAGCGACTTGATAAAAACATTCTGTGGACAGGACTTTGAGAGTTCGGTGTTTTCCAGCGGTCGCCATCTTTGGGTTCAGTTCCAGTCTTCAGATGATTCATTCCAATACGGAACTGGATTCCATGCCCTGTTTGAGATGGTCAATCAGTGTAAGGCTTTCATTCTGTTCTTTCATTAATATAAGATCTTGGTTTACATTTTCCCCTACTGGCTGGTAATTGCATTAGCTGGGTTCACAGCTGTCAGTCTTGCCTTCCAACAGCAATATTACACCATTTTGTATTCTCGGTATTGAACTGGAAGTAGCTTGCCACTGAGATTAATGCATGAGCCTCCATTGCAAGCTAGTTCAAGTCCAGTACCGAGAATACGAAAACGGCCTATTGCTTGATCTTTAGCTTTTTGCGCCAGCTGTATCCAGGCCTCGCCGGCGCGCGAGGAAACACGCAAGATTAGTAAATAACACGCGCGATAAGCTGACCAACTCGACTCCGATTTACACTGAAGTTTCTTCTTCCATCTACACCAGACACTGACTTAGTTATGCACTTTCCTTGCGCAATAAGTCAGGTTCGAGTGTAAGTTCTAGTTTGAGAGCCAGACATTTTTCTTCTGAATTTTCTTTTCAACTCACTTTTGATTGTTTCACATGCAACGTCGAAAATTATTTTGCATCTTCCGTTTATATCCTAAGAACTGCATGAATTACTTGGCTTCATTTTGACGGGTTTTTTTTAATTTTAGTACCAGCACCGTTTTCCTGCACTGCGCGCAACCTGCGGGTCAAGTTAAAGTCAGAGACTGGAACCTTGGCCAGTTACAACTACCCTCTGCCATATGATGATTCTGTTGAATGTGTTTGGAGCATCAATGTGAATACTGATTCCATAATTGAACTGTCGTTCGATTTCTTCAATCTGTCCGACTCCGCTGACTGTTCTGAGGATTACGTGGAGGTGCGTGATGGCCTGTTTAGCGAGAGTGAACTTGTAGGAAAGTTTTGTGGATCAAATAAACCCTCAAAGATAACTTCAGATTTGTGGGACTTGCGCGTGGCGTTCAAGTCCAGTGGAAAAACGAAATATCCCGGATTCAAGGCAACCTACAAAACAAAGAAAACAGGTCAGTTAAAAATGAATAACGTTTAACACATTTTCAATGTTTCCCTCTTTTTTTTTTTTTCTTGCTAATTGCTTTC